ACGATATCAAATAAATAATATAGTGGACGTCTGAGTCCAGTTAATCGTTCCAACATAGACTATTATTTATTCATAGATTACTATTTACACTTTTATTTGACGAAAACAAATTATGATTTATGATTGTTGATCTAAATTATACTAACTAACTTAATATATCGAATTTGCACAGAAAAATCGAATTAGGGTTTCAGGTATGAAAAGTGATCTTAGGGTACACAATTTTGTTTATTGATCACCTCTAATTCTCTAATCAAGATTCTTAATTTAATGTTGTGTTTGATTAAATTTTTCTAACGTATTCAATTTACCTCACTCAAAATCAAGTTGATTCTATTTAAATAAGTCCACTTTATATCTATATATGAATTAGGACACATCTTAATTAAATGAATTAAATTTTTAATAATTTATGTAACGACCGCATTAACTAAAAAATATATTTTTACATTTTTATACCAGTTCCCGGATTCTACCATGTGGTCCAAACCTATAACTTACCTATTGACTCGTTACAAATTCACAAGATCATTGAATTATTTGTCAAGTAATTCAAGTATTAAATACCATAAATAAAATCAACACATATAAAATTGAGAATTAGAATATTGAAAATTGAATAAAATGGTCGCAATAAACTACATTGTTCCCGTACCAAAAAGTTTAGCTACGCATATTAAATGAAGAAAAATATAGAATAATTATTGAGTACATCACCGAATTTTGAATTAAGATATAGAGAAATAGATGAATCCGTGCACCAAGATTCTCTTCTTGCCCAAATCAATGCTTCAAACCCTAGTCTTGATAACTTGATTTATTGCTTTTCTTCTACGTATTTGTCTCTAATTTTCAAATTGTGGAATCTTTTTTTTTTTTAATCTAGATTAAATCTTTATATAAGGCCCTATTTGGTCGCCACATTTTCCATGGAAAATGTCACATACGAGAAAAACAAATTTCATTTTGGTGGTTTGATTACACTTTAAAATGGAAACCGAATTCCAAGATACAACCACTTTAAACTACTTTTTTTTTATTTTCATAGAAAATGAATTCATATGGGTATGATGGATTTTTATTTTCCAACTAACATGAAATTGGAATTCCTGTTTACCTTTATCTATCAAACGGACCCTAATATTATATCTCATATAAGAGTTCCCGCGAAAGATCAACTTGATAAAGAACAAAAGAAATTAAAAAAGGTATTAAAAAAAAGTGCCCTAACGGGAGAGGTCATGCGGCTA